CCTTAATAACCTACTGGTGTACAATTGTTAAGCTATGATTCCTTAATAACCTACTGGTGTATAATTGCTAAGCTATGATTCGTTAATAACCTACTGGTGTATAATTGTTAAGCTATGATTCGTTAATAACCTACTGTGTATAATTGTTAAGCTATGATTCGTTAATAACTTACTGTTGTATAATTGTTAAGCTATGATTCGTTAATAACCTACTGCTGTACAATTGTTAAGCTATGATTCGTTAATAACCTACTGGTGTATAATTGTTAAGCTATGATTCGTTAATAACCTACTGCTGTATAATTGCTAAGCTATGATTCGTTAATAACTTACTGCTGTATAATTGTTAAGCTATGATTCGTTAATAACCTACTGGTGTACAATTGCTAAGCTATGATTCGTTAATAACTTACTGCTGTATAATTGTTAAGCTATGATTCCTTAATAACTTACTGCTGTATAATTGTTAAGCTATGATTCGTTAATAACCTACTGCTGTATAATTGTTAAGCTATGATTCATTAATAACCTAGTGTTGTATAATTGTTAAGCTATGATTCCTTAATAACTTACTGCTGTATAATTGTTAAGCTATGATTCGTTAATAACTTACTGCTATATAATTGTTAAGCTATGATTCATTAATAACCTACTGGTGTATAATTGTTAAGCTATGATTCGTTAATAACCTACTGCTGTATAATTGTTAAGCTATGATTCGTTAATAACCTACTGGTGTATAATTGTTAAGCTGTGATTCGTTAATAACCTACTGGTGTACAATTGTTAAGCTATGATTTGTTAATAACCTACTGGTGTACAATTGTTAAGCTATGTAGGATGGATCCAGGGGTTATAAGAAGACAGTGACCTTCTCATACATCTAAAGATTATCTGATTGATAACCTAAAGAACAGTACAAACCACCAAACATAAGCTGCTCAAAGGCCTCAAAGCCATATGGCTGATGTAAAAATGAAAGAGGTTAGAGTTTCAGAATCATCATAAGCCAAATCAGTAACCCATGCTGCTCTTCGAAATACTTTCTCCATTTCTATTTGCACTTAATTTGATGCTCATAATTATGCACCACTGTCAAAAATGGCAGTTCCCACTGTAACATGGTCAACCTTAGATCACATAACTTACAAAAAATGGCAGTTTCCACTGTACCATGGTCAACCTTAGATCACACAACTTACCAAAAATGGTAGTTCTCCACTGTAACATAGTCAACCATAGATCACATAACTTACAAAAAATGGCAGTTTCCACTGTACCATGGTCAACCTTAGATCTCACAACTTACCAAAAATGGTAGTTTCCACTGTAACATGGTCAACCTTAGATCACACAACTTACCAAAAATGGTAGTCTAAGTTGTGTGATCTAAGGTTGACCATGTTACAGTGGACAAAAAATGGCAGTTTCCACTGTACCATGGTCAACCTTAGATCACACAACTTATCAAAAATGGTAGTTTCCACTGTACCATGGTCAACCTTAGATCACACAACTTACAAAAAATGGCAGTTCCCACTGTAAAATGGTCAACCTTAGATCACACAACAATATTTCCATGGGACCTTCACTGTATGTGGATGGAGGCTTCCAACACCACGTTTAAGCAGACCATCAGGAGGCTTGACAGATGTGTATTCTAATGAAACTGACATGATTCCAGGCTCTTCAGCCATCTTTCTCCCAAAAACAGATGCTGAATTTCAGTATCAAATCTTGTGCTACTATTTACCAATGAATAGCGAGACTGACTGTCATATTATAATGCCTCCATTGTCGAAAGGGTGGGCATGTTTGGTAACAGGTTCCAAACTTATGACCCGTAGACTGTGAATCGAGTGCACTAACCACCCGGCCTAAAGCATGAGGTAAAGCACCACTTACTTTTGGGAAGACTTCTAACCTGCATAAGACAAACTGGAGACATATGAAAGATCCTTTTGTTGTTTACATGTTGATCCAAATGACAATGAGGTACAGATCAGGGGAACTCTGATGCTAATGGGATCTGTAATATGCTATATCAGTGGTTCCCAACCTGGGGTCCGTGTAGGTAATACCATCTCATTAAACAAATAAGTTTTTTAATACTGGTGTTTTTTTTTAATTGCACACTCAGTTATATATGTCTTATTTGATAGTGAAAAGTGGGAGAACAAGTTAATTATTAGTTAATAAAAACAGTTTGTTGGGTAGGCGAAATCTTTCAAAAACATGGGATCCGTGGGGGGGAAAAAAATGATAATAATAGGGGTCCTTGATGGAGAAAAGGTTAGGAACCACTGTGCTATATATATATAAAATGTATTTTCTGACAGTTTCAGCTGATAACTATCTGATAGCTAATATACAATGCTATTTTTAATAACCTAATCTATTTACCATTTGTTCATGGAGTTGCCGAACTATTTCCATGTGGAGATTGAAGAGATCCTTATGGATAGAATCTTTGAATTCTTCCATGGCATCCTTTACTGCATGGTACACGCATTCAGCCTATAAAATAAATCATTTTGGAAAGTCAACCTTATATAATGGGTAATAATCAAGATGAATTCTTCCATAGCATCCTTTACTGCATGGTACACGCATTCAGCCTATAAAATAAATCATTTTGGAAAGTCAACCTTATATAATGGGTAATAATCAAGATATTCATGATTCAATTACATTCAAAACAGTATTTTATAGAGATATCACAAAGTTTTCTAGCCTACTTCCCATCATCAGGATGACAAACTATGCTTTCGTTCAATCTTCGGTGATCATTATGGTATACTTTCTGCCTTTCCTTCAAGCTGTCATTACAAACAAATTACCATAGAACTTTCCTCCTTCCCCTCAACAACTGGAATTTAAAACTTATCCAATTCAACAATTCTAGGTCACCAGTGCCTAACATCTGGTGGTCTAACATAGTTTTAGGTAACAGAAGTTATAGATTTCCATAAATCAGAGGATATAATAAAATACGGTTAGATTAGTATTCCAAACAGAGGTGTGGGTGGATCTTAAAATAGCATGTTTACAGCCAGTGCTTAACTTTGTAGTTATCTTAATCTTGCAACCTGATAGTAAATACAAATGATCCAATATAGTTAAAACCACATCGGCAACCCGGTTGTAAGCTGTACGATCTGACGAAGAGTACTAGCTCGAAACGTCATCCTTTTTAAATAAAAATATAGAAAACTTGGCAATTGTTCAACCTATTATTTAATTTTAGTAAATACAAATGAGCCAATATATTTTTGAATAAATAGAGAGGCAAAGCAAGATGATAAAAAATATATCTCGGTATCTAGAGTATCCATTAATTGTAGATACAAACCTTTTGGATACAACAATTCTTGCTTGCCTGTTACCGATAGTTCTATCAATAACGTTTATAAATATATTTTATTGTTTTATCCAATAATCATTTAAATAGTCCTGTGGTTCCTCTCTGCCAAATTCTTTGTTCACATGTGTAAATTCTAGTTACCTGCTTCTTACAGTATGCAAGATATTTATATAATCAATACCTGAAACCGTTGGTATTTGGTGAAACTCCATGATTACAGAACTGAGGAAAACAAAGACAACTGGATGTTTCACCGATACGTTACACACAATCAACAAATACTATCAGTGATGATTTAAATTAATTTAATCAATGTTTAATTATATGTGCTGGATAATGAAACTTTAAGATGTTGAAGAAAAGTAACTAAGTTGAAACTCTGTGTTACTTAGAATATATTATGCAAAATCTTAAATATGTATCTTTACAGAAGACCATAGTATCAATTGTAAATATATTTGAATTACTAATATACTGAAGTTAATTTGTTATCAGAACTTTTTTACAAATACTTATACCTGAAACGTTGCTGCCAATCCCTTAGAATCACCGACAACTTCACCTTCCAATTTTTCATCTTTCGTAATGCTGGTCATGTTGATAGATTTGAACAATTTGTGGTTTTCTGACTCTTTCACTCTTGTTTCTACATCACCATTAGAACCACTGGGTCCTGACTCTTTCACTCTTGTTTCTACATCAACATTGGAACCACTGGGTCCTGACTCTTTCACTCTTGTTTCTACATCACCATTGGAACCACTGGGTCCTGACTCTTTCACTCTTGTTTCTACATCAACATTGGAACCACTGGGTCCTGACTCTTTCACCCTGGTTTCTACATCATCATGGCAGCTACTGGATTCTGTTTCTCTCGAGTCTAAATCCAGTGAAACATCTTCTTCTGGTGCTTTTATTACATCAGGTTGAGACATGGAAGAGGGCTGATCACACTGACCCAAGGACAAAGCTGCACTGCCTTCAGATGATCCACTATATAGCTTGTTCTGGTATTCCATGCCAGGTTGTTTAATGATAGCTGAAAAATGTACAATGGAGTTTTGGTAGAGAAGTTTAGCTCTGCACAAACACATCTGTAGCAATAGTTTTACATGTATGGAAAACACTTCAATGAATAATTAGAATTTTAGTGATATTTTAAATACATGTAGTACATCCAATATTACTTGTACCCATAAGTCAAATCTCCCAGTGAAAACCTTAATGAAAAGCTTAAACAGTGTACAACAAAACAGTTGGGTTAACTTTCTTTCCCTATACCAACATATATATTTTGTTTGTTATTTATGTTTTTCTACTGTCTTATACTCAGAGCTGAAAAATTCAAATAGATTACGATTTAATGAAGTTCAATACACAAATTAAAACTTTCTTTTCTTTTTATTTAGTACGATATATTATTCTAAACACCTACCATCTTGAATATGAGAAGCAACACGATGGGCTCCTCCAATCACAGGGGTTGTATCTATGTGAACAGCCGTTAGTGTGTGGCTAGAGCTGAAGTCTGACTGATCAGGAGGTACTAGAGATGTATATACATATAGTAGTTTCAAATATAACAAAGAATCTGCCCATCAGCACTATCCCTAACAATCTAGAACAACCTTTTTAATACAGTGGACTAACTTGT